ATAGTGCCTAAGAGGTTGAATTTTTTATTTTGCTTATGAACGTTAATTCTCTCGTCGAACTGCTATGCACAACTATTTGTTTGACTGCCTACGAGAAACTAGAGCGTGGCGTGAATTCGGCAGAGGGAGACGCGGTGACCAAGGTTTCGCCTCGACGCGACGACGACGTCGAGACACTCGGCGCCGCGACGTCTCTGCGGAATCCCCAAAACAGCGAAGGACCGACCAAGGGGAGTAAGCAGCCGCGATACCATTGGATGCCCGCCCTCCTTGTGTTCGCTAGAGGCCAGCTATAAATCGAGCCACCCACGGCAACGCTTTGCGACTAGCTCTCTCACCCATCCCCTTTGTCGTTCAGCCTTCGCGGGCTCCTCCGCATTCGCGTACAACGCCACATGTTGCCATCCTGACGTCAGAACGTGACGTCGTCCGACCGCGAGAGACGCAGTGGTTGCAGCTGCGACGAATTAACCGTTCGCGACAAGATCCAACCCCAAACGAGCTATTGAAGCGATCATAAAAATCGAATTCTATTCTTTCGTTTCGCTATTTCCTGTTCAAGATGTTCGTATAATACACGAGTCTATTCCTTCGTTCATATTATAAAAATATGAGAAAATGCAAAGTGACTACGTAATTATCGTCATGCGTCACTATAGAAAATCGATTGAAAAAAATTGTTCGTCGCGGAGCCTGTAGGCTATAAAAATGAGAAAGTACGTGGTCCACAGTCAATGACGTCAAATGAACGGTGGCTCTTCTTGTCTAACGGTGACGTCTCGGGATTCGAAAAATAACGAGATTTCTTACCCCTCTAGACTCGCTCATCAGTTTGTTCAAGCTATTAGTTGGCCTTTTTCCCCACTTAACGACTTACCGTGACGTTCCCATATACTCGGAACTCAAAGAGATATTTTATCAAGCTCGATAGAACTGTTTGCTTATCGACTCATCGATCGATCTATTAATGTCTCCCAGGTCCTTACAACTTTTATCAGACTCTTATTTACTTTCTCGGAAGATAGCAACGTACCCGACCATCGTACGCCGCGTTATACATATTACATATTACGCTATACTGACACGTATGTACAGCCTGGGTCGCGATGGGTGTTGGAAATAATGTTCAAAGGCCGACGCGATTCATCGTTTAACGCCGTTTAAACGAGTACGAGTACATTTCCGGGCGCGTGTGCATCGGGCCGCGGTAAACTTTTTAACGTGCGGATCTGCCGGACAATTGCGCGTGTTTCGCAAATTCAACGCGTCGGCGTCGCATCGATTTCCGGTTTTGGTATGTCGCGCACGCCGCGTCGCTCGCCACCCGGACTGATTCCAGCCCCAGAAATGCATTCGGCGCACGTTGCGCTTCGTTTTCATTAGAACGTAAACTCTGATAGCTCATTTACGAGCCCGTCGGCCCAATCAGGCGAGAGGCCTCCAGCGACAAGAACGACCGGAAATCACACTCGGTTCCGGTTTCGTTAACTGCCCGAGCCCTCCTAAAGTCCACTTGTGTCACCGTTCTGTATCGCTGTTACGAGTCTTACGACAAATTGTTAAATGCACAGAGTGAGATAATAAGAATAATCAATTATTTCAACTGACTTTAGTCTTAATAATTGTGAAACGAGTTACCTGAACACACCTCGACAATAATCGTGATCGTAAACGATTACGAGGACCACCGCGGGTCGTAGTAAAGTTGGAATGTTGAAATCGAGGGCGAAATCCTGCTTTTCAGAAGCAATTTGGGATATGGACCGAGCCACTCGACATTGGCAATTCTGCGTCCCTCGCTGATTAGTCAAGGTCAAGGTTGGGGAAATACTTAAACCGGGTCACGAAATTGCGACAACGCGATGGATGAAATTGCTCTGAGTGTGTATCTACATGGTACCCCTGAATGAAGGAAAATGCAAGGTGTAACATTAATCAGGATTCCGGTGGCTGCGAGCGACTCCGTCGGTCTCTATAAACAACGGCTTCCTCGTAGAAGCGGACGCGAACCCTGACCGCTAATAAATGCCACTGCGTCTTAATCTCGTAAACAACTTATTTCAAAAATTACCGTCGTTCCAATACAGCCGATAAAACGAAGAGAGTAGAAATTGATTAGCCGAGAGATTTTTGCATGTGTGCTCTCTCGCCGCTGCAAATTCTCTACGGCGGAAGAAGTTGTTTTGTTTCACGCTAATGGATATTGTTCGAGCTCGTACATGTTATTAGCGGGTCCACTGACCCGGCGGGGAAGTTCTTGCGAAAACGAGATAAAAGCGAAACGCAAAAAGGTATCTTGTTTGGTATCGACGTTGATTTTCCGATAACGAACCACTTTTTCGCGGAACGTCTTCCGATACGCGAATCCCTTTATGTCGCAAACCGGAATTTTCCCGTAATTACGTAATATAGAATTTCCGATCGCCGAGAACTGAAATCGTATCACAATTCTGCAAAACATAAATGAACCAGAAATGATTCGCGATGATAAATTGCGCATCGATTCGAGTAACGCAGCCGAGTAAATGCGATATCACGCCTGATAAAACTGTTATCTGATAAGGTATCTTTATTGGATCCACGTTTTCGAATGTTTCCTCGAAGAACCCGAATAACGATTAAAAACCTTGGTTGAATAATGCAAGCACGCGCTGATATGTATGTTGCCCGGGAAGAGTTTATCGATTGATTGAAATATAGAACTCGGGATGAATAATACAGAGCCGGTAAAATTGTTTTTATAAATATTTCTCGACGAAGGAAAAGGATCGCGCTTATAATTAGCCAGATGAATCAACTGCGAGTTCTTTTGACGACTCTTAATGAGACTATTGGGACTCGAAAGGAATCTCTCGAACACGAAGAAACCGGGAACTGAAGAGTTAATTAGTGAAGTTTCTGGGTCGAATTCTATTAAACGATTCTTGCATATCGAGGGGACGGACTCTCGAAAACGACCAAACGTTTCCGTACAACTATCTCCATTTCAATTCCGATGATTTTAATTAAAGAAATACTCAAACAAATTCAAGTACTGTGAACATTTCTTTAAACCCATTATTATAACATTAATACAATGATCGGTATTAAAGTAATTTTTCAAGCGAACGTTTCTTGGTCTAAATGCATCAAATGCGCAAGAGAAATGAACACTTATGGATGCCAAATGCGAGAATACAAAACAGAAAGGAGGATCGTTTTGAGCTGTCGCGACAGAACGGCGACGCGCGAACTTTCGTAGCCACTGTGAATTTTCTACATCACTCTGCGCCTCTATTCTCACAACGACTTCACTCCTGCGATTCGAGTATTATCGAGGCAACTAGAACCTAACGAGCTGATTGTTGTTTAATATATGATAAAAGAATTCGGTCGTTATCCCCTTTGCTCATTAATTCAACATGTTTACCACGAGCTTTGAGTGATCCTCTAAAAATATACAAGGTGAGTCAGTAAGAAAAATTCTCCCCTAATCATGGATTTATAAAGCTTGATAAACGTACATTTTAATTTGTCAAATGAATTCGTATAGAACGTCGAACAACGTTTGATCAAATCATTAAACGAGAAAGTATTGTACATAGTACTTTTTATTGGCCCAATCTGTATAAGTAAAATCGAATATTTCCTACCAGGTTTATGTTACTTCCTGATGCGAATCTTATTTTTATGTACGTACACGCGGGAATCTGAATTCTAGAATCTTTAAGACGGTTTCAAGTGAGAGGTTTCCACGGATTACCATAATATTTTTTATTCATTCCGCCACGTCGTATCGAGGGGAGTGACGAGGTTATTACGGTGTTCGAGTTAAAGAAAACAGGCTGTACATAATCCCACCCAGTAGTTCGTGCCTGCTCCGAGGAGGAACGGTTCGAGGCGTGTTTTCTCGAGCCGAAAGTCGATGCATCTCGCTGCATTTTAAACGTGAAAGTAGAAAAGGTGTAGAAAGGAGGATAGCAGAGGACGAAGTCAAAATCTACATACATACGTATAAAGTTATCGACTGGTGCGATCCGAATTCGCCGCTCGCTCGTAACAAGATTTTCGCGAGATGAATTTTCATAGGTTCATGACAATTCGCGTAATGGGGAAGAAACCGCGATGCAAATTACGTCCCCGTCCGCCGATTCAATTAATGGGTAAATAAATGAACCGAAATGCTTCATCGATTGTTCCAAGGTTTCCTCTCTTCTTTTTTAATAAATAATGCATTCTTATAATTGCACCCTAATGATTTATACAATTAAGGATGTATTGGCTATACAGTCAATCCCAAAAGTTTATGCACTTTAGAAACGCATTTTTTAAAAAGAAATCAGACGTCGGAAGAACATTG